GCCGGTAAAGCCCTGGGCGCCGCCCCCAATCCGCCCGCCTCCCTGCGGCGCCCCCACCTGAGAGCCCGGCACGCGGGGGTAGGGGCTGGGCTGGGCCGGGCGCCTAGGAGCCAGCGGGGCGGGGCCGCCGCGCCCGCGCCCCTCCCGCCGCCGCTCCTGTCTCCTGCCTCCCGCCTCCCGCCGTTGGGTTCATAGCGGCGGCAGCAGCGGCCGCGGCAACAGCTCTGCTCTGTTGCGCTCCGGCCCCCGGCCCTCACTCCGTGCTCCCGGGCTCCGAGCCCCGACCCCGCCGCCGCTCCTGCCGGGGCCTCGGCGCCCCGCCGCCGCCTCACGCTGAAGTTCCTGGCCGTGCTGCTGGCCGCGGGCATGCTGGCGTTCCTCGGTGCTGTCATTTGCATCATCGCCAGCGTGCCCCTGGCGGCCAGCCCTGCTCGGGCGCTGCGAAAAGAGGAAGACCCCCAGCGAGCTGGATTGGCAAAGTGGCAGCATCAATGGGCTCAAGAGTGGCAACGATATAGTGAGATTGGCCCAGGATCGGGCAGTGTTTTGTTCTGCTGTGCATAAGGTCACTATGAGTCAATACTGACTCGATGGCACCTAACAACAACAACAACAGGAGAGGCTGGCAAGCTTGAAGCACCGACTTAGCAGTTCAAGCTGACTTTGTAGTCCAGCGCATTAACCCACAGAACCACACCAGGAATCCAACTTAAATTACAGACTTTAGTTAATAGTAATATATCGGTATTGATTCATTCTGTGTAACAAAGGTACTACCACACTTCAAGACATTAATACTAAGGGAAATTGTTTGATAAGGAAGAAAGGTGTAGAGGAACTATACTTCCTGCGCAGTTTTTCTGTAAACACCAGAGTGGCGAGGCCATGAGGACTCTGGGACCTCTGCCCAACCCGTGTCTGCATTCCAGAAGTCTCCCTCCCCGTTGAGCTTTCTGGACTGCATTTTTCAGGTCACTGATTCTGTGAGTATTGACACACCCACGCACACAGCTCATTGTATACAGAGTGTGGTTTACTTCTCTTCTGTTTTACAACTCAGATCTGGTGTTCCGAAAGTCCTGACTCCCAGGGATAGGTAAGCAGGGTGGACAGGAGCCTCACAACCATGGAGGAAAAAGCACAGATCCAGGGACCCCTTAGCCGAATCCCAGTGGCCAGGCCAACAGATAGGGTCTCCAGGGCAACTTCTTCCCGAGAAATGCTGCGTTTCTCCCTACACCAGCACTACACAGAGACCACTCAAGGACCCCACCCACTCCACCTCACATCAGTAGGCATGGCAGTCCAGAGACCCCAATTTGAGCCTTCCAATTTGAGTTAAGAGTGCAGATCTGGGAGAGAAACAGGACTGATTGGGGTTTGACTCAAGACCTAGCTGGGTGCAGACTTCCACAAGGTTCTCATCCTAACGGAATGGGTCCTGGTGTGGAGTCCTGGTGTGACGCTGTGGGTTAATGCGCCAGGCTGCAAAGCCGGTTCAACTGCAAGATCGGTGGTTCAAGCTCACCAGCTACTCCTTGGAAACCCTATACAGGATCGCTATGGGTAGGAACCGACTCAACGGCACTTCATAACAACAATGGAATGGGAGGGGGAATCTTTTCTGCAACGGTAAAGATTCAGAACCTCGAAGATCACAGAGAGATTTGTGTGTATCTGAAAGGAGGGAAGGGAGTGGGGTCTGCTTTGTCAGAAGACTTTCTCCCCAACCCAACCCTCCTCACTCCCACTGCACCCCACAGTTGATTGTTGTTAAATGCTGTGCGACTGTATCCACCCTGTATAAGGTTCCCGAGGCTTTGAGGCTTTTTCAATCTTTGCGGAAGCAGAAAGCCTCATATTTCTCCTGAGGAGCGGCTAGTGGGCTCGAACCGCCGACCTTGAGGTTCGCAATCCAGTGCTTATCCTATGGCGCCACTGCGCTCCCTAGTCAACTGTGACTGAACTCAAATTCTCCACCATGTCCCACCAGTGTGACCTTGGACAGCGACCTGGCCTCAATGGACCTCAGTTTCCTCATTTGTATCTGAAACATGTCCATGGTGAGCAGGGACAAGTTGCAGCTGACTCAGCCTGGAGCCTGACACGCAACAAAGCTCCACCACGCCAGCTTTGCGGGTGCTGCCTGGATCTAGGGCGCAGGACCGGTGGGCTAAGGTCGCTCAGGAATCACGCCGCGCGCCCATTGGGTCGTCGCCCTCCGCCCTGCGGCTGCGGCCGGTAAAGCCCTGGGCGCCGCCCCCAATCCGCCGCCTTCCTGCGGCGCCCCCACCTGAGAGCCCGGCACGCGGCGGGTAGGGGCTGGGCTGGGCCGGGCGCCTAGGAGCCAGCGGGGCGG